GAAAACAGATAAATAAATGTCCAAAATCCTTAGCTTTCAAGGAAATATAAATCAAAAGTACTTTAATGATTCATCTTATACCTGTTAGATTGGCTAGGATTAATAACACAAGTGACATCTCATACTGGCAAAAATATGGAGAAAAAGGAACACTCCCCTATTGTAGCTGGGAATGTAAACCTGTATAGCCAGTATAGAAATCAATATGGCAATTTCTGAGATAATTGGGAATCTATCTTCCTCAAGACTCAGCTATACCACTGTGGTAGTTTGAATATAATTGGCCCCTATAATCTCTTAGGGAGTGGAAGTAGTGGTAGGTGTGGCCATTCTGGAGTTGACATGGTCTTATTAGAGGAAGTATGTCACTGTGAGTTTTTGAGGTCTCTTATTCTCAGGATGCTTTCCAGTGTGTCCTGTTTCCTCTGAGTCAAGAACAAAGGACTCTCAGCAACAGTGTCACATCTGCCTGACAACTTCCAAGCTTCCAGCCATGATGACAATTAACTCAACCTCTGAAATTGTATGTGAGTCTCCTCAATTAAATGTTTTTATTATAAGAGTTTTTCTGGTCATGGTGTCTCTTTACAAAAAAAAAAAAAAGTCTAAAACAGAAGTTGGTCCCAGGGACTTGAGTATTGCTGTTCTAGTTCTCACCATGCTTTTGTTTAGAATCATAAGGTCTTTCTTTGATTATTGGGCTTTAAAAAAGGTAAGCATGCATTTGGCACTGCATACAGGGTCATACTAGGAGTAGCATGGGAGAGAGTGACCTTCATAATATGAAATATCAGGAGCTAGCTCAAAAGATTTCAGAGAAGAATTTTAATATGTTCTTTAGAAATAATTCTTGTGATATTTTGGTGAAGAAAGTGCCTTGGTTCAAAGAATCTGCCTGAGGCTAAAGTAAGGGGATTTTGATTAATTTCCTGGGAAGAAGAATCCTCAACACAGCGTAAGATAGACTAAGCCAAGTGGATATTAGTGGTAACTCTACTGAAGATACATAATAAAAAGAGCAGCTGAGCAAGGAAACTTACTTGAGAGGATAAGGGCCCCCAAAAGTGGAATGTATCTAAATCCTCTGCTCAAGGACATCAACAGATTAAGAAATGGAATAAAGGGATTGGTGGCCTGAGGGGGTGGTGGCACATTGACTTTAATCCTAGCACTCAGAACACTGAGGCCTACACACCTCTGTTAGTTCAAGGACAGTTTAGTTTACAGATTAAGTTTCAGGACAGCCAAGCTTATCCAGCAGAAGACAGAAAGCTAGTAAAAATAGAATTAAACAAGGTGCCATGTTCCAATGCCAGTAAGCAGCAGAACCTGACAGCTTGGACCACATGGTTCTGGCTTAAGAATTAAGGATAAAAGAAACACATTAAATTCTCTGTTTCTTGTTATCTGGGGCTGAAGAATCAGCTGTGATGAGCAAGTTAGCAGAAGTATTTAATCAAAATATTGCTCTGCTGGGTACTTAATGCTGAATGACTAGAGCTAAAAATTTAGTGACGATTAAGAGATCAGCATCACTGATGTGAAAATGTCTGGGAAGTGCTTTCTAGAAGCACAGAGCAACTGTCTTCCAGAGGTAGCCACAGTTGTACCTCAACAGGTAGATGGAGTTTATAATGTGCTTCACCCAGGTGGTAATATTTTGAAGGTATTGATGGATATAAGGCTCAGCACTGTGAGAGGCCAGGAAAGGACATCACTGAATGTTTGGTCTCATTGGCAGTTGACTTTCCAGGACTGTAAGGGTCATGCCAAGAGGTGCAGCTCCTTGAGGAGATTTTATGAGAAACACTGTTCAAAGTGAAACCCAGTTGCAACCAAAGACCCCAGTGTCTGGAGAGGCCAGCACTGTGAGATGACCACCAAAACAGCAGTGACAGTGGAACTGAGCCAGCCAGAATCTAGAAGACCAGATGTGTGCACTGCAGAGTCAGTGTATTGACCCAAAGCCTATGGAAGGGTACAGAAGATCTTGAGTGGACTTTAATACTGGAAAGTAGGAATTCTTTAATTAAGATGTTAGAGATTCCAGGGTCATAGGTTACCTACCAAGGAGAGTTACTAATGTGGAATAGAACCAGCCCAAGAAAAAGAAGTGTGCTGCTCTCAACAGAGATGAACAGGATTGGAGACCTGGAAAGCTGATGGTCATGGAATTAGGTATCAATTACATTGACTTTTTTCTTTATTGTTATTTGTATTTGTTTCTACCCTAGTTCTCTGAGCCATCCATCTTCTGGATTCTGCCCATCTAGGTGCTCTTCCTAGCCACATTGGGCTTCAAGTTGGGCCAGTCATTGGTTAGCCACTACACAAATCTTGAGCCATCATTTTCCTGATATATCTTTCATACACCAAAAGTGTGTGTCAAATATTTTGTGGATGACTTGGTTTCCTGGTCCCACCACTGGGAACCATATGTGATTACAGAAGATAGACAATACAGGCTCCATATTTCTGAGTTATAGGGAGTCCTCACTATAATCACCCTCAAAGATTGCAAAAAGTTGTTACTGCACTGTTTGACCATCAACCATTAAAGATTTCCTATTCTAGTAATTTCTTGTTGTGTTTTTCCCCGCCATACCTCCATTTACTCCCATGATCCTTCCTGTTCTTGCTCTAAGTACTCCCACAAAATCTAGTCTATTTAATGTTCCCCTTTGGGATCCATGCACTCCCCTGCTACAGCCATCTTTGTCATTTACCTTATCTGGTTCTGTGGATTGTATTGTAATTAGTCTTTACTCAACAGCTAATATCCACTTACAATGAATACACATCATGTTTGTCCATGTAGTTTGGGTTTACTTGTTCAGAAGCAAAAGACCTCAAGCAACACATCAAGAAATAACTTAATTGAATAAAAATGTGATGCAGATTTAAACAAGGAGTTCTACGGTAGATTAATTGAAATTGTCTTAGAAACACTTATCTAAATTTTCAATATATTTAGCCATCAATAAAATGTACATCAAAAGAGCTTTGAGAATTCACCTTATACCTGTCAGAATAGCTAGATTCAATAACACAAGGGACAAATCACGCTGGCAAGGATGTTGAGTAAGTAGAACATTCCTCCATTGCTGCTGGGGATGCAAACGTGTATAGCCACTATGGTAGCCAATATGGCAGTACCTTAAATAATTGGTAATCTATGTACCTTAAGACTCAGATAAACCACTTTAGTACTTTGAATGTGGTTAGACCCAATAATCTCCTAGGGAGTGGCACTATTAGGTGTGGCTTTATTGGACTGGGTTATGGCCAAGTCAAGTCAATATCACGATTGTTATTACAGGCTTCACATTGAAACACTTCAGGAACTATTCCAGCCTATGACAGTCATTGAAGTTAGACTAAATACTTTTTTATCATGGGATGACTATGAATATTTATGGATCAGGGTCAGAATGTAGTTAATTGAAGGAAAAGGTCCCAGATTAGAAGAAGTGGTTGAACACTTGTCTCTCCAGGGTCCTCTTATTTGTTGTATTTGTGGAACATTTAGTAGGTGAAATCTTTTGGATGAAATTTCTATATTGGCGATTGGATTTACATGTTTATAGCCACAACCCATTTGTGGTTATGTGTGTCCAGCTGTTATGACTTCACTGCTATTATATATGGTATCACTAAAAGACAAAACATGCATTTGAAACAATTACTATTTACTCTTAAGCCTTTGCTATCCTTATTTCTATTCTAATTTTTTTTAACTTTTGTTTTTGAAAGACAATGTTTTTCTGTGTAGCTCTTGGTCCTCAGTGTAGCTCCTTAGACCCTGCTATCCTCAACTCAGAAATACAAATGATCCTGACTTCTGCACAGAGAGATTAATGGGCAAGCAACATACTTGTTATTTTTGTGTGTTGTTTTGTTATCTGATGAGTATGCAATATAGGTTTTTGTACATTTCAAGGATAAGTTCAGATGCTGAACTTCTTGAAATTTGAAGCTTGGTGGAGGGTCTCATTCTCTTTCCCAGAAGAGTAGTATCCATGACATTAATACCTCTGCCTTCCGAATCAATGCACTGCAGGTGTTTGACTTTCTTACTGCCTCTAATTTTTTTGTTTTGAATGCTTTCAATGAATATGAGGTTGTATCTATAAACAAGGGTATGTACCACATGCGTGCCTGTTCCTCATGGTCGTCACAAGAAGCCTCAGAACCTATGAAGTTGAAGTAATGGATACTTACAAGCCCCCTTTTAGTACTGGCAATTGTGCCCACTTATCTGCGAGGACAGCAAGACTGCTTAATTGCTGACCCAGCTCCATTACTCTATGTCATTTATGATCATCATTTACAGGGCTGATGTTTTCTTTGGTCCATTTGTAACTGTTAAACATGCACTCCCTTTTATTGAGATCTTATTATGAAACAGTTTAAACTGGGCCACTGGAGGTTCTGGAAGATGAATGTAGAACTAAAGTGAATACAAAACTTTTTGTATGAACTTCAGTAAAACCTTTGATTTATTTTTATGTTTTTTTTATTTGAATGATTTTTTTGTTTGGATACTAGGTTTTATTAATTTGTAACTCTGGCTTACCTGTAACTCATTGCATAGGCTTTCACTAATATCCAACTCAGTTTATTTCATCTGCTTTTACATTGATCACTGGGATTAAAGTCACAAATGAATATACCCAATTTTGCCATCCTTCTTTTAGATAATGATTGGTCTTATTATTTGTGTAATGTTTTCTCAGTAGTGTTGATCTGGTTGCTTGTCTGTCTCTGTATGTCTGTTCATTGGCATTTCTTTCTCAAGGCTGTATCCTATTTAAAGGGCCAAGGAATGACACATGTGAACCTCCTCTTCAGTTTTCTTCTACAGTTATTGGTGTTAATATTATAGTGTAATGGCATGGAAGAAGTATGTGAAGCAGCAGCATTATACACATATATCATTGTAAAAGAAGTATCCAATGTCAGGATCACACTTTGTTATATTGTTGATTGGATTCTTCTAGAATTCAGTGACCTATGAGGATGTGCACATTAGCTTCACTCAGGATGAGTGGGCTTTGCTGAATCCTTCCCAGAAGAGTCTCTACAAAGATGTGATGCTGGAGACATACAGGAACCTCACTGCTATTGGTAAGATTGTGAACTTCCCTTCACATTTTAAAATAAGGGGACAACTGTGTATTAGTTATCGATACTTTTGTCTATTTGTGTTTGAGAAAGAATAAGAATGAGCCAAATAACTAAGGCATAGTTCACTTAAGATATTCAAATTTTGTACAATATCCATTAATATATTATCTACTTTCTGTTCCTATATTTTAGGCTACAGTTGGGAAGATCATAATTTTGAAGAGCATTCTCAAAATGCTAGAAAAGATGGAAGGTAATTTTTATTTGCAACTTGGTGTATATTTGTCTCTGAAGAAATTTGAATTTGTCCTGGAAGATTTAAAGAAAACAGTAGTATAAATAAGCACAGCATAAAGTATATTGATGATTATTAATTTCTCATAAAATCATGTGGCTCAATATGAGGTAACTGGTGTGTGTTTCCAAGGCATTCCTCTAAACAGAAGAGAAGGAAACAATGTCTTAACTAATACCATCATTTATTTCAATCATAGCCCCATGACAACTATGCTGTAGAGCTGCCAATCCATTTAGTTTCAAACCACTCAGATATTGCACAAGGAACACACATAGACACATTGAATAGATAATAAGTATATGTCTAAAAGTGTCCAAAAAATATACTCTATAGTAAAGCCCATGTTACTCATATACTTGTGACTTTGCCAAATTTATTGAAAGTGATAGTTTATGAGAGTTTTTGTGGAGAAACATTAATTCCTACACCACATGTCTGTGAGTTACAAAAAGTCAAACTGTGTGAATTCAATGGAGAATTCTTCTTCCTTTAATAAGGAAGTCATATGTCACAAGTGAGCTTTCCAAAATGGAAAGAGGGACTGTATCTCTTTCAGAATAATGAGAAGATATGAAAAATATTTAGTATTTCAACACTGGGTAGATTTGTTGAATGTGCTGTAAGATTATATTTAATTGGTTTTCAAATTTCCTTGGGAAGATATCAGCAAACTCACACTGAAGTTAAGCCCTATGAGTGTTGGACTGTGTACTTACTTTTGTTTGTCCTAGTAGACTTTCCTGTGGTAGGTATTACACTGCAGGAAAACCTAAGAATCCAAAAGAAATGTAAGGTTATTTAAAACTGAGTTAGTCTAGTTCCTTTCAAATATGTAAAAAAAACCCTCATATAAAAGGATGCTATAAATGTGGTTCATTTAAAAATAGACCCTTACTATTAAAGGTTCTTCAAAGACACAAAATATCCCGTACTGAAAGACAGCACCTTGAATGTAAAACTTAAAATCTGATTCCTCTTTACACTAAATAAAATTATTAAAATTAATTCATATAGATATTAAGATTCATCAATGTAATAAGCATGGTAAAACTTTTACATGTGCCAATTATCTTCACAGGTATGAAAGAAACCATAATGGAGAAAAACCATCTGAATATACTCAATGTGCTAAAGACTTTGCATGTTACAGTCATCTTCAAAGGCTTGAAAAATTTTATTCTGCAGAGAAGCCATATGATGGTATTCAATATGATGAAACCATTGGAGGTACCAGTTCTCTCCAATTACTTAAAAGTACACATGCTGATGAGAATCTCTATGAATGTAATCAATGCGATAAAGACTTTTCATATGTCAGAAGTCTTCAAGTTCACAGAAGAACACATACTGAAGAGAAAACTGATGAATGTAGTCAATGTGATAAAGCTTTTTCAAAAAGCTCCAAACTCCAAATACATGAAAGAACACATACTAAAGAGAAACTCTATGAATGTAATGAATGTGGCAAAGTATTTGCACGTCAATATAATTTCCAAATACATAAAAGAACACATACTGGAGAGAAACCCTACACATGTAATCAATGTGGTAAAGCCTTTTCACAGAAGAGTAAAATTCGAGTACATCAAAGGACACATACTGGAGAGAAACCTTATCAGTGTAATCAATGTGGTAAAGCCTTTTCACAGAACAGTAGTCTTCAAGTACATCAAAGGACACATACTGGAGAGAAACCTTATCAGTGTAATCAATGTGGTAAAGCCTTTTCACAGAACTTTAGTCTTCAAGTACATCAAAGGACACATACTGGAAAGAGACCTTATCAGTGTAATCAATGTGGTAAAGCCTTTTCACATCAATCTAGTCTCCAAATACATAAAAGAACACATACTGGAGAGAAACCCTTTGAATGTAAGCAATGTGAAAAAGCTTTTTCAGAGCACTCTAAACTCCAAATACACAAAAGAACACATACTGGAGAGAAACCCTATGAATGTAATCAATGTGGTAAAGCCTTTGCACATCAATATACTCTCCAAATACATAAAAGGTCACATACTGGAGAGAAGCCATATGAATGTAATCAATGTGATAAAGCCTTTTCACAACTCCGTAGTCTAAAAACACATAAAAGAACACATACTGGAGAGAAACCTTAATCAATGTAGGAAAGACTTTGCATGTCATAGAAGTGAACACATCCATCAAAGAACACATGCTGAATAGAAACTATACAATTTTAGCCAATGTGGCAGAGCCTTTGTATGTGTAATCAGGCTTTAAAATCTTGGAGAAAAAAAAAACATACTGCAAAGAAATTCTTTTTTTTCTTTTTTGGTTTATTGAGACAGGGTTTCTCTGTAGCATTGGAGTCTGTTCTGGAACTAACTCATAGACAAGGCTGGCCTTTAACTCACAGAGATTTTTCTGCCTCCCAAGTGCTGGATTATAGGGGTGTGACACTACAGTCCAGTCTGTCAAACCCTGTAAGTGCAATCAGTGTGGTAAAATTTTCCTCTTTTTGGTGGTCTTTATATGAGAATACACTTTTAGTGGATAAGGGATCTATTAAGGCCTTTGCATATCACAGTACTCTGGGGACCTCAGAAGATTCATACTAAAGGGAATGTGACTATAAATGTTTTGAAAATATCTTCAGCCATCACACATTTACTTACATAAGACTGGGAAGAAAACAAGTCTACAAGTGTCAAATCTGTTCAAGCTTTATGAAGTCTCTTTTTTGTTTGCACCTGCAAAATTATATGGACAGAAGTACTGTGAATTCAATGAAAAGGTAACCCTTTTTGATTTCACACCTTTCTTCAATTATATAAATACACTTATCTGAAGAAGTTAGCTTGATTCAGGAAATAACCAGGCTAGCTTAAAGATAAACCATTATATTTTTACATATTATAAGGGAACCTCATGCCACAAGAATGAAAAGTCCAAGTTCTTCCATGTCCCACGGGAATCACCCAGAGAGCAAGCACCTGGTCAATCCCAGTTTTTCTCCTGGGTTTCAGGAAGCCACACCTCAACTACATTCCACTTCTTAAAGATGATTTATTAACAAAGCTTCCCCTATCCCTTACCCAGTTGTAAAATTTTATAGATGTATATGAGTGCCTCCTCTGTGTTTGTGATAAAACATAATGTCTAAGTCAATTAATATAATAATTCAATGTGACTCTTGGTTCCAGATCGTTACATGATTACCTTGAAAGCTGTCACAAGAAGTGTCAGACATGGCAGCTACATAGGGAAACTAAGAACTCACATCCTCAGCCTGCGGCACTGCCAGGTGTAGGAACTTGAAATAGTGTGTGAACTCTCAGGAATAAAGCCAAGACATACTTCTTCCAGGATCACAATATTTTCTAAACTTTCCCAAATGATGCCATTAATTGAGAATGATTAATTTCTGTAACTTCAAATCTACATTCTTGCTTTCCATTGCATGATCCAAACCATGATTGAGAAAAACTCTGGACATAAGCCTTTAACTGCCTCAACATCTGGGTTACAGGAATGAATGCTTACAGGAGAAAATAATTCATGAGTGAAAATTTGTTTAGCCAAAGATTATATTTAATTTTAATTATGTTATTTTAGTGTGTATTTGTGTAGGTATATGATTATTCATGCTTTCTCCCAGGAAGGTTAGACGCTTGGGTGTTTGTGTTATAGGACTACAAGAAGTTCTCAAAAATCTGACCTTCATCCTGATAATGAACTTGTCCTAACTGCTTGTCAATGTCCTTAGCTCTGCATATATGTTAAAGACATTATTTTTATCATCTTAACATCAGATAATAGGGAAGAAATCAAGAAAGAGAAAAACCTTCTTCATGTAAATAATATGGTAAAGACTTTAGAAATCACAGTGGTCTTTATTGACTAGAAATTCTTGTTTCATATCTTTTTCATCATGAACAAGGTTAATCATTCACTATCTTCACTCAAGTATCATGGTGGACATTTGTCCATTGCGGTTTCTGGTTAGTTAGAGACATTAGAGTGTTCTACACATTTAGCAAATCCTTTCAATGAAGTTTATTTTGTGCTCGTATTTTTTCTGTGACATTTGTAAATCTTCTGTGTGATTTCATTCAGTGATAGGTATTTTTTGCTGAAATATAGAAAATGAGATGTCCATTATCTGAGTGAAACATTTATGTTAATATTAGGCAGTGTATATTCATACTTTTTAAGTAATGGTGTCTTTGAAAGAGTGGTGAAATTTTTTTCCTGGATTTCTTTCTTCTATTTTCACAAATTCTTTTGAGATGTCATTTGCTATCCAGTCTAGCTTGTATGTCACTAATTAGTTATGAATACACCTGAACTCATAATCATCATGGGTCATTCTCTTGAATATAAGTACAAGGGTAGATGTTAGACCCCAACATTTGCTGTTTTGTCTACATATTTTATCAAAATTAATGTTAAAATGCATAATAAGATAAAATAGGATAAACATTACCATATATGTGTACCCACAGCATCATTTTCATCAAACTGGTAGAGATGTAAAAGGTGAGTTAAAAAGTAATGAACTGAATATTTCACAGTATAGCTTGATGTCCTGTGGATATCATTATTTGAAGTTCTATGAATCTTTCTATATTGATTAGTTATCCATTTGTCACTTCATCATGAAGTGCTTTCTTCTAAGGGAATTATCCAGAGATGCCAGATAATGTAGCATCAATGAGATTTATTTGAAAAAAGTTTCTGTTATATGTATGTGTGATAAGATTATGGAATTTCACAAATATGTGAAGACCATAAGACAACTTTTTGGGGTAGACACTTGGCTCTCTTCATCAAGATTAGGTTAACAGACTTGCACACCACACACATTTCCCACTAAGTCAGCACCCTGATTAATTGAAACATTCTACCAGGAAAAATGTTGCCTTTTTCAGATTGTAAACATGTTTTTATTGATGGATAGAGGAAAAACAACAACTTAAATCATAAAACCTATTTTCAATTGAAAATGATACACTGATATCTCCTTTCTTTTTCCCCTTTTTTGTAGAATGTGTTATCCTTAGGACTAAACACTTGTTCATAACATTTTCTCAGAACCCAATGAATACCATAATATTTCCCAGTACATAAAGCTTGTTGCTGCTGTCTGATGACCTGAGGTTGTCATTGTATATACTGAGTGCAGAAATGAAGGTAAAAGTGGAGGCCATAAGAGGGTATCTGATCCCCTTTAACTGGAGTTAAAGAGAATTGTGAGCTGCTTTTTAAGTTCTTGGAGTTTTGTAAGACCCTGTGGATAAGCAACCAATGATGTCAACTGCTGAGCCATCTATTCAGCCTAGTAGTAAGGTGTGAATGTGGGAACCTGAGTCCATCTTTGCCTCACTTCAAATGACCCAAAAGAAACACAAGATGGACAGCCCAGAAACTAACTTAGAAATATGCACAAAGATGTCTTTGAGCCCAAATCTTTATAAAACAATGGAAGAGTACAAAAAATTCTTCAGGAAAAAAAAACTAAAAATACAAGTGTTTAAAATGCGACAGACCCTTGATGAAATCACAAAACTGAGTTTAGTCCAAACTTGGTAAATAGTCAGCAAAGACAAAGGGCAGGTGGAACCCTGCTGGAGTTTATGCCTCTTATAAGGAGAGAAAGGGAACTTGGCAGGCATGAAGGATGACTTTTCTGAATGTAATCATAGTCTGCTTCCCTAGTGACTGTAAAACTTTCAATTAGGAGACTTGAATGTTGGTGGCTTAAAATGACATGCAGTTTTTCAAAAAAAAAATCTGATACTTAAAAAGAAGTCACTGTAAGGCTTGGGCAATCGGGCATTTATGGAGACAGGGCTGTGGAGTATTGAATTGTTAGGGAGGAATCTTTGCCCATTGAAACCCAATCGAATAGGCAGAGGCAATGTTTGGGGTGTACCTGAGGACAGGCTCACTCCTACTGTGCTCTCTGTATCCAGTCAACTGTGGTGAGAGGCATTTAGGTTATATAAAGGTTCTGGATATTATGAATAGTGCTGCTTTGAACATAGTTGAGCATTTACTCTTGTGGTATGATTGAGAATACATTGGATATGCTGGATCTTGAGAGTAAATTGATTCCCAATTCTGATAAAGGACCATATTGATTTCAAAATGACTGCACAAGTTTGCACTTCCACCAGCAATGGAGGAGTGTACCACTTACTCCACATCTTCTCTAACAAAAGCTGTCCTCAGTGTTTTTGTTCTTATTTATTATGACAGATATAAAGATTGTATCTTAGACTTATTTGATTTGCATTCCCTAATGACTAAGGATGTTGAGCAATTTCTCAAAGTCTTTTTGTCAATTGAGATTCTTCACTTAGAATTGGGAATTCTTCATTCAGATCTTTTCCTACTTATAATTAGATTATTAGGTATTTTATGGCTAGATTTTTGAGTTATATATTTAACTTTTAGTATTTAAATTTTTATAAGTTTAATTTTTATAATCAAATATATATATTTAATTTTAAGTGTGTATGAATCTCTGCTTGCCCCAAACCTCACTTGGTAGACTAGACTGTCCAAGGACATAAGAGAGGTCTTCGCACACTGTCTCCAGAGTGGATGCATAATACATGTGCACAGCACAACTGAATAATATGTTCTTTTCATTGGCTTAATAAAGATGAGTGACTGAGCCTGGTTAGTTAAGGGAGCCAGGACACAGACTCTGGTCCTATTCCTAGTCACAGGATGACTCCCATCAAATACAATCCTTCCTTAAAGTCTACTGTCTTCCAACTATTAAAAACAGTGATTCTTTATTATTGAGTCTCTTATAACTCATCAAGTGACTAGGGCATAGTTCTGAATTTCTTCTAAAGATAGTTAAACCCAGGCTCACAAAAATAAGTGCTTTTATAATGTAGATAACTGTAATGCTCTTTTTACTCATCCCAACTTTCTTATGCCTAATTAAATGAAGCTGGAGCAACCCAAGTCAACCATGGTGGCACCGGCATGTAATCATGGTACTAAGAAAGTGGAGGCAGGAACTTCAGGATTTTTAAGTTATCTGAGACTAGAATAGTGAATAGAATGTGGAGGGAGGCCCAGAGTTCCAAGAAAGACTGTGATTGGCTCAGATCAGTGTTTAGACTGTTAGCTGCAGGGCCAGAAATTCAGAGCCATTAATTACACCTGCAAGTGTCTGATGAGGTATTTGCATTAAGGGTTTTCTAATTTTGATGTTTCCTACCCAAGGAAACCTAGGACACTGTGGGGTCAGATCATTTTGTTCTTTAACAACTGGAGTTTTCATTTAAGTGGGAGAATTTGACTCAGGCAGGGATGAACTA